TATAAGCGATCACGCAAGTGAGGAGCACGTTGCTGGAGACCAAAAAATGTTGAGTATGGTGTCAAACGCTATGTCGATAAATGACGATCAAATGCTTTTGCGAGTCATATCCAAGACAAGCAAAAGGCGACAATCAAACCGTTTTATGTTAGTTTTTTCTTCCGTTTTGTGTTGTTATATGCGTAATTTTTTCGAACTGATTCAATGTCTGCAATTTACCAATTCCCTTGAATCAACTTTCGACCCTCGTATTCTTGAAGCTCCGCATTCGATTTAGTTTCCTCAGACCACACATATTGAAGTGATGTTTCTGTTTTCCAGGGTATTTCTGTTCTGGAAGTACTATTGCAGAAAAACTTCAATCACATTGAAAACGTGTTATGTTATCGTAATTGAAAGGTGTCTTGATCTTTGCTGGAGCGTTTTCGAAGTTAGTTGCAAGAATTGACACCATTTTTATCTTAGATCGTGCAGCTCAAATCGGTAAATTCTTTTGCAAACTCTGATGACCCCATAATGTTTGGATGTCAATCGATATATCGATTACTCGACGTAGACAAAGCGGCTGCTCACAAATTTATTGATTGTTTATTAAACAATGACGAATAATTGTACAATCAAATCTCGCACACGTAGACATAATTGCGGAGCGCGTTCTATTATGCGCAACTCATAGGGAGGATGCGGGAGGCGGTTGAAAAAGGTGGAATTTTTTAAAAACAAAAAATGGGGTTGGGGGCAGCAATGGGGACGGGGAAAAATTTGTGGATGGGAATTTCGTTTGGTAAAGTGAGGACATTTTCAAATCACAGCTGCTGTAAGACGAGAAAGAGAGACGACATGTAGATAGCTGTATGGATATGAATATGATATATCACTCGATCAACACTGATGTACTATACTATGCAACAACATCAAATATCGATTAGTTGTGATCTACGAAAATATTTAGGCACATATGCAATAGGTTACGGTACACATCGTATGCTGTTCACTGATGATACGTCATAAAATCACTTTGATAAATAATATCACACTAGTAAGGACACGTTTATGCTTGCTGCTGTTGCATTCTCGTAGGAAAATAAGGCGCTATTTGAACGTTGTAATGCTTGTATTTTGGCGTGTTGTTGAAAAAAAAGAGCAATCTTGTTTAAAAATAAAAGAAAACAATACGAATTAAAAACATAGGAGGCAAGATGATTAGAATACAGTTTAGGTTCTGACTAAGAGATGAGGGTAACAAATGTTAGGGATGTCCCAAAAAATGCGCAACATAGGGGACAACCTGTAAAGTTGGAAAGAATGTGAATTAAAGTGAGTATAGAGGGATAACGATGGAAAAAACTAGACTAAAATGCGCGACAATCGGTCGTTTACGGTCACGCTCGTTCTAGATATGTTTAGAGGTTTGGGTTGTATTTTTTTTTCGCAAAAAGTTTTTGAACGTACGATTTATGATATCACACAAAGTAGCTGGGGAGGCGATACGGTAGCGCGGTGACAATTGTGGCCAAAAACGGGTGCAGTGGTGTGATTTACGGATGCAATGCGCGCGTTGCGGGCATCACCGCCGCCATTGGTGCTCTGTGCTGATTGGTTGATGGTATGGCTGGCCAAAGATAGACTAATATGTCATCGCGTGTTTACGACTGAATTAGTGTGTAGATCGGCTGTGGTGGTAGAGCCTGTGGTAGCGTCATTGGCACTGCGCCAGGCATGAATTGTGCATCAATCGGCATCTGGAACTAACATGAGCAATTGCTCATACCTTGTCTCAAGGATCGATAAAATCAATAATCCACCTTTTGTAAGAACTGCGGATCTATCGCAACCACTGGCGGATCCGACGGAGTTCGCGATCGTATAGTCACGACTGCTTCACCGGGAATGTTGCCCTGAGCGACACGAGTGAACATCACCTGAAAAATCAATATCAGTCAATTATCGATTGGTCAACGGTACCAGCTTACATTCTCGACGACCACGTCGGGTGTTTGGAAATGAGCGATGATGTCCGGTAAGCCAACATTTGGACCGATACCGTAAACCACTAGCTGATTCACCTATATAGAAGGTCGATGAATTTTTAACCAATCGATATATTGATTTGTGACTTGCCTGTCCAGGTATGACCATATTGGGCGATACAGGTGGCGATGGATATGGCCAGAACATTGGTGCCGACATTGGCACAAGAGCTAAAAATAGATTTCATATCCGAGAGTGATGAGCGAGATTACGGTAGCATTATGGTTACATACTTGGCACAAAAGCTGGTCTCTGTGGCAGCATAAGCTGCGGCGGTGGTGGCACCGGTGCCGGTGCAGTAGGTGCCATTACCAAATGCATGTCGTCGGGAGAGCATTGGAAAACCTTGAGGAAAATCAAATTCAATGGAGTGAGAAACTTATTGATTTATCGATTTTTGTCTGCTGCATGGTATACAATGTTAGGTACGATTTGAGATTACGTCAGAGGGAAGTTACAAATGAAAGTAAAGTGCAAAATTGCCAGAGGTGAGAGCATTTCGGCTGTGCAATTTCCTTTTCGACAAGCTAATAAAACGCTTGCGAAGTACGGTACGGTGTGATAAGTCCATTGGCAAAGATAGTACGCTGTTTATCACCCAAATACGGTAAAAAGTACAACACCAACAAAGGAAACGGTTTGCCTACCTCAATATATCTCTGTTTCTTTCCGATCACCATAAACTTGTTATGGGCAGCAGCAGCAGCACCAGCGGCAGCTTGTTCACTGTTCATCTGGATAAATGCTTCACCGGATGGATGTCCTAAAATGAATTTATCAGTTGGTAAAAATTGATAAATTCCAGAGAATTTTTCGTGCGAAAATCATGCGAAAAAATCATCTTAAAAAACGGTCCTTGATGCTCACCTTGACTATTGAAAACCATATGCACACCCTGGAATTGTATGAAACGAGCGTGTTCACCGAGAAACTCCACCACATGCTCGACTCGAGCCTCATACGGTAATCCACGAAGACGTACGCAATCACGACGTGTACCATTAGCCGCTGACGGCTCTGTGGAGCGTTTCACTACCTGAATTACATTGATAGAATCAAAATTTAGGTTGATTTCAAAAATTTCTAGACGAGTTTTCCCTCTTCTCGATTTCATATTCGTATACATGCGTCGACGAACTAATGTATTGGAGACCCTGTTTGTAATAACCCAATTTCGCCGAACATAAGAACATAGGGTTTCCATGAGAACTCGTCCCACTTCTTTAACATGCATTTCGGCGTGTACGCTAATAATTACCGGTTCCATAGGAGGCCGTGAGGTATGGGAAAAAGTTTGTAACTGGCCATGCGTAAACTAAAAGATTTGAATTGATTTTTACATACCGATGAGCAGCAAATAAATAGAAAGTGCAAGAAAGCTTCGAAAAGAGGCTAAAATTTAAAATAAAATTATAAAAGTACGAATAGGCTAAACTTAGAGATTTGCGGAGAGTTTCTTTCAGGCAAATGGATGAAAGCGAATTTGGACTGTCAGTGAAGCTATCAAATGAAAAAACCTAAGAATGGGTGACGGCCTTTTTGCACTACAGCACCCTTGATCCGTCCTTATTTACTTAAACGAAAGCCGACGGTCCTGCATGGAAAGTTTACTGTATATTGTCATGCGCTTAGGGCTTCCTTAGAAATTAATTAGCGGTGTGCAAAGTAGTTAGACAATAAACCTTCCGTTATTCTTGCACAATTTTAGCAGGTCCATATCAGTTTCCTTTTTTGCGAATGATACCCACATTACAGTAATCCCAATACCGTACCTGTTGCACCTCAGCACTAGTACTGCGAAACAGTTCGATGTATCGATTTCCGATCGTTTGACGATGTTTCGATAGAGCACGTTGGCCTTGTTCTTCATCGGCAAATTGCACAAATGCGTCACCTGCAAAATCAACATTGACATCATCACACAGTCGTTTTTATTGTTTGACGTCATTAGGGTTTTTTGTATTGTAAATGATGCAGCCATCA